TCATTATCGACTATCTTGTAAGTTTTAGTGACGTTGTCATTCAAGATTTTGTTGTAGTTGTCAGCAGATGTCTCGTAAACATTTCTGGTTTTATCCGCGAACACGAAAACGTTTGGCGATGATTTAACCTTTTTAAGATCATTATCTAAACTATCAAGAAATGTATCTGTAACCTTTCTGAACTGGATATTTTCCATCATATTAATAAGATCTTCCTCAAACGCTTTCATTTCGATAACAACTGGTGGCGATTTCTTAGATTTCAAACCGAACTTGTACTCCGCGGTGGCATTTGGTTCATGAAGGAAGAAATGCGCTTTCCATCTCATTCTGTTTACCACATTTTCCACTTTGTCGATAAGTCTTTTCCGATAAAAATCTTGCGATGGCAGTCCAATGTTTTTCAAGGAATAGTTAAATCGAATTTGATTCATCTTAAGTATTTGTTAAACTGCACAATAACGAGAGTGCACAACTGCAGAACAGGTGCGAAATATCAATAATAATCGTTGATTCAAACAAAAGTATGAACGCACTGAGTAGTTTGAAGAGTGCTCAACACCAATATTAGTAGAGCTTTATAATTGTTGTCTTTTCTACTTAAAATTAATTAAGTCGCAACTCTGAGTTTCACGTTTACACGATCTTCAGGCGACGATGTATGTTCAACTAACTTTTCCTGCTTGATGACGTTGATATCCGTTGTGCTGCTTGCGTGACTGAGTTTGCGTGCGTGATTGAGCTTGCGCACGTTCAAACTTTTCGGCCAAGAATCGTTTTTGGTGGACGCACTTCGAGAACAACTCGCGTCTTCTATATTTAGCAAGTTTGACTTATCCGCTTTTAAAATGCAAAGTTTCTCTTGGAGGCAAAGGTTGCATCTCTTTCCACCGCTGGAATACGAGGCTGCTCGTTTTAGGATAGACCAATTAATCGTGAAGTCCTGCTGCTTTTCTTTTAAGTTCCACACGTATTTTGAGAGCTCCGTATTGTTCCTGTATATAACATTATTGAAAGATTTATTGTGGTTATATAACCGTGTCTTAAAGGTGTTTCCCGTCATGCCAATGTATTCTTTAGGTTCCGAATTGTTGGTTACCACCTCTGCTTTATAAACTATGCAGTCTAATAGGCATTTCTTTTGAAGAGGGCATTCGTTGCTATTATTACAATTGCATGTGGCGCTGTATGTTGATGATGATGTTTGGGTTGTCGATTTTGGTCTTGATAGTATTCTGGTGTTATGCTTAGAAATTATACTCTTGCAATTATCCATGCAGCTGTAACTGACTTTCACCGAGTTACGATTAAATATCTTATGAAGGCAATTGGAGGGTGGGAAATGTTTGTCAATTAAACTGAGGAAGATCTTGCCCACGTTTGTTCTTACGTTCTTGCTGAACGGTGGATTGAACCAAATTATGTTTCGTTGTCTTCGTTTATTACCCCTACCGTTGTTGCTTGGGGTATAATGCAAGTTCGCATGATAGTTGCTGTGGTTCAATGCGCTTTCATACATGGGTGCAGCGGCTGAAAAGGCATTCTGGTCGGATGATAATTGCGAAATACGTTTGTTCACTGATAGCGGGATTTGCTTTATGATTGATGGTGGATGATTCGAATGACTGTTGATGAAAAGGGGGGTCATTATTAGGTTTCCGGTAAGGCTTGTAACTCTGCTCGTGTAAATTCAAAGTTAAGTCGAGGAAGTTGACGGTTTGGTGGCAAATTTCGGCTGTTATCTTTAACTGGAAGTTCTCTGCAAACAACTTGTGCAGGTCTTTTCTTGCCTTATCGGCTAGACGTTTGGAAGTTCCCTTCAGTAAAATAAGTCCATCATCACGATAAAGACCAACGTAATCTTTCCCGTATTTCTCAGCTAAGGAGTTTAGAATAAATAAGCCGACTAGCTCACATACCTCTGCGCCGTCGTAACTTCCCATTGTAACGTCAAATGTGGTGTTGCTTTGCCGTTTTTTCCAGATGTTACCACCATTGAAAAGGAGGGAGTTTCTTGCGTGTTTAATGATTGACACATGTTGTTCAGGGATGGTAACATAATTTCGAGCCCACGAAATTGATTTATCTAGAAGATCCTCTGTAATGGAGGGATAGAATTCAGCTATGTCAAAGGAAATAAACGAGTACCTTTGTTTGTTTTGAATGTTCTTAAACCAATCAATAACTGATAAGGAGTTTTTCCATTGCTGCACGCCAATGTTATTTCTAATTTGTGAGTTAATGTCATCAAGAATAGTTTTCCTAATCTTTCCGAGATCACTTTTCGCTGGGTTTATCAGGCGATAGGTTGGGTTGACTTCAAAATTATCTTTGTGGTCTTTAATTGTCACAAACGCTTCTTTAGTTGCCATGGTTTCAATGCGGTTACCGATGGAGAGATCATTTGCAAGGTCCCTAAGATCACAGTTTATGTCTTCTAAAATGTCATTGTCGACTATCTTGTAAGTTTTAGTGACGTTGTCATTCAAGATTTTGTTGTAGTTGTCAGCAGATGTCTCGTAAACATTTCTGGTTTTATCCGCGAACACGAAAACGTTTGGCGATGATGAAACCATGGCAACTAAAGAAGCGTTTGTGACAATTAAAGACCACAAAGATAATTTTGAAGTCAACCCAACCTATCGCCTGATAAACCCAGCGAAAAGTGATCTCGGAAAGATTAGTAAAACTATTCTTGATGACATTAACTCACAAATTAGAAATAACATTGGCGTGCAGCAATGGAAAAACTCCTTATCAGTTATTGATTGGTTTAAGAACATTCAAAACAAACAAAGGTACTCGTTTATTTCCTTTGACATAGCTGAATTCTATCCCTCCATTACAGAGGATCTTCTAGATAAATCAATTTCGTGGGCTAGAAATTATGTTACCATCCCTGAACAACATGTGTCAATCATTAAACACGCAAGAAACTCCCTCCTTTTCAATGGTGGTAACATCTGGAAAAAACGGCAAAGCAACACCACATTTGACGTTACAATGGGAAGTTACGACGGCGCAGAGGTATGTGAGCTAGTCGGCTTATTTATTCTAAACTCCTTAGCTGAGAAATACGGGAAAGATTACGTTGGTCTTTATCGTGATGGTGGACTTATTTTACTGAAGGGAACTTCCAAACGTCTAGCCGATAAGGCAAGAAAAGATCTGCATAAGTTGTTTGCAGAGAACTTCCAGTTAAAGATAACAGCCGAAATTTGCCACCAAACCGTCAACTTCCTCGACTTAACTTTGAATTTACACGAGCAGAGTTACAAGCCTTACCGGAAACCTAATAATGACCCCCTTTTCATCAACAGTCATTCGAATCATCCACCATCAATCATAAAACAAATCCCGCTATCAGTGAACAAACGTATTTCGCAATTATCATCCGACCAGAATGCCTTTTCAGCCGCTGCACCCATGTATGAAAGCGCATTGAACCACAGCAACTATCATGCGAACTTGCATTATACCCCAAGCAACAACGGTAGTGGTAATAAACGAAGACAACGAAACATAATTTGGTTCAATCCACCGTTCAGCAAGAACGTAAGAACAAACGTGGGCAAGATCTTCCTCAGTTTAATTGACAAACATTTCCCACCCTCCAATTGCCTTCATAAGATATTTAATCGTAACTCGGTGAAAGTAAGTTACAGCTGCATGGATAATTGCAAGAGTATAATTTCTAAGCATAACACCAGAATACTATCAAGACCGAAATCGACAACCCAAACATCATCATCAACATACAGCGCCACATGCAATTGTAATAATAGCAACGAATGTCCTCTTCAAAAGAAATGCCTATTAGACTGCATAGTTTATAAAGCAGGGGTGGTAACCAACAATTCGGAACCTAAAGAATACATTGGCATGACGGGAAACACCTTTAAGACACGGTTATATAACCACAATAAATTTTTCAATAATGTTATATACAGGAACAATACGGAGCTCTCAAAATACGTGTGGAACTTAAAGGAAAAGCAGCAGGACTTCACGATTAATTGGTCTATCCTAAAACGAGCAGCCTCGTATTCCAGCGGTGGAAAGAGATGTAACCTTTGCCTCCAAGAGAAACTTTGCATTCTAAAAGCGGATAAGTCAAACTTGCTAAATAGAAGACGCGAGTTGTTCTCGAAGTGCGTTCACCAAAAACGATTGTTGGCCGAAAAGTTTGAACGTGCGCAAGCTCAATCACGCACGCAAACTCAGTCACGCAAGCAGCATAACGGATATCAACGTCACCAAGAAGGAACAGTTAGTTGAACATACATCGTCGCCTGAAGATCCTGAAAACGTGAAACTCAGAGTTGCGACTTAATTAATTTTAAGTAGAAAAGACAACAATTATATATATATATATATATATATATATATATATATATATATATATATATATATATATATATATATATATATATATATATATATATATATAATATATATATATATATATATATATATAGGCATATATATGCATATATACATATATATATATATATATATATATATATATATATATATATATATATATATATATATATATATATATATATATATATATATATATATATATATATATATATATATATATATATATATATATATAAAAATAATCACCTGGCAAAAAGTTTCATGGTTTTTGGGTTTCATGGTTATATATATATAGGTTATATATATCATGGTTTCATGGTTATATATATCATGGTTATATATATCATGGTTATATATATATATATATATATATATATATATATATATATATATATATATATACCCTCACCCTGGGATCTGGCGCCGTTGGTTCTGGAACTATGGATTACTCTAAATCAACTTCTTTTAAGAAATCCCCATGTGAGAATAATATTCAAATACTCCAAAAGTACTGAATCCATGCACGGCTTTACATTATGAAATTTGTGTTTGTTAATTCCCTACTGTTTTCGGGATGTTTCATAACACACAATTTTATGTTGAATATTATATACCTACTTGATTAATCGTTTGCTCAATCGATCGCTGCAACTCTGTAGGAATCTCTCAACTACTGTCATAGTATGGACAGATAAAAAGTCAGGATTTTCTCCTAAAGCCTGCAAATATAAATAAAATCTAATAAGCATATTGTATGACTATACGTTTACACTTGCACCGGATAGCTTTTCATAGCAACGTAAAAACACCTATCCGTACCTTTTATATGAACGCTATTGTCAGAGGAAATATTGAAACGGAGAGATATTGTTTCGCTCAGCTTCTGAAAGTTGTAAATTCCGTATCGGATAGGTGTTTTTTTTATGCCGCTACGGAAAGCTATCCATGTAGTAGGCTGTAGTGTAAACGTGGTCTATATTCCACAAACAGGTCTGGCGGCCGGGTCATTTTCAGTGGCTCAGATTTAGCAATTATATAACGAGGCTGAGTTGTCTATGAGCGGATATTCAACGAAGCCGAGTTATCTAGTTGTTTTATACTATACACTCCTACTCAAAATACAAACTCAAAACGCAATTGGGAAAATTTAAATAAAATTTAAAAGCATGCACGAGCCTTTCAATGATTTCTTTCAACCTTCGCATGTTCCGCTTGCGGGCTTCTTGTTTACTTTTTGCAAAAAACCCGGCAAAATGTTTTTTTTTTAAAAAATACACAGCTCGTAAGTTTACCTTCCAAAGTCGAAAAACGTTCGTTGCATCAGCTGGATGGCATGATTGTCCGGGAGGACATGTATGTTCAATAAACATGCGTACAACATCCAGACGAATCCAGGTGGTTCTATAAAATATAAAATATAAAATATGAAATAACTTATTGATTACTTGTAATGATGCATACTTGTAATGATGCATACTTGCAATAGAGCGCGGAAGGGTGATTTTAGTTGAGTAAGCAATGTCAGTTATTCGTAATGCTTGAACGTTACAACGTTTGAAGAAAATAGACTATAATTCACGTTTGCGTTTGCTTCCTTCAACCTTCGCCCACATTGTTTGCCTAGTTTGGTTGAGTCTATACAGGGTGTATAAAAAAAGGTAATCGAACTTCAGCGCGATATTGTACGTGAATTACTCGCCGTATGAACAAAATGTTTTCATATTCGGAAAGATCAGGCGTTTAGCTATTCAATGACATGTTTTTCATGCCAGGTGGAGAAAAAATAAGCAAGCACGGGACCGATAAAAAATGTTAGTCAGAATCGTATATTTTCACCTCTGTGCCTAATTAGTTAAAGCAGCGGATGTATAACAAAAGAAAATTAAGCAATTAATCACAAACTTGTCGTAGTTTAGCTAAGATTCATTCCTACTTAATAATAATTATGAATATGTGCGTAGTTTATTGAAGTGAAATTCATCAACTTAAGTACCGAAGGGGGCTAATTTTCAATGGTTTTAGACCCAACTCTCAACGGTAAAAATATGCGATTCTGACTAGAATTGACTTTTGGACTCGCGTACTTATCCATTTGGTATAAAGAACATATCATTCAACAGCTAAAAGCCTGATCTTTCCGAACATGAAAAAAATCTCGTTCATACGCAAAGTAATTCAGATACAATAACGCGCTGAAGTTTCATTACCTTTTTTTTATACACACTACATGTAGTACACGCAGGATTAGGAATGCGCGGTGAATAATTGTTTAATATCGTTATCTATTCAAAATCATCCTTACTGCAGAAACAGTGATATGGTCTAGGGCTTTTCGTACGAAGGCCAAATAAGGCTATCTATGGATAAGTATACACACCTACAATTTTGTAAAATATGAGCAGATCTCGCTTCAGAAAGTTGAGAACTAAACTGTGCCTCATTGCTACCATTTTCTTTCTGTTGTTGTGCCGGTTTTGAGATTTCACTTTTCATAACTTGTATGATAGGACGTACGCATTGAACTCGCTTACACCAAATCAATCTATTTTCAGCGTTTTCCAGATCATCAGGACATGGTTCCAATTGCTGCAAGCAACACTCTAGTGCCACGACATCCAGAATCTAAAATTATTGTAAAGGCATTACACGCGAACAAGAATCTTATAAACATCGTAATCATGAAGTCTACTACAGTAGGCTACCTGAATACCATGGACCGCGCATGCTAGCCAAATGATCCATTGGTGCTGAAATTTTCAAGTTTTGAAATTCAAACATGCCATTTTCTCGCGGCTTTATTAGATTTCAACAAAAGCAGAAAATAGACAAGAAACTTTTTAAACCTTAAAACTGTGAATAGTTGCCGTACATAAAGGAATTGTACAGCGTACTGAACTAAATACGTCTTGCGGTCAACTTGCTTAAACTCCGCCTTTTATAGGTTTGAGTCGTTCTATATAGCCAGGTTGTATTTTAGATTATTTTAAATTACCCATCAACATGCTTCTAAGGGTCAGTTCATATGGGCAAAAGTTACCCCGGTTAGCGAGAAACTCACAAGTTTACAAGCGAGATATCGCCTTGGTATATGAAAATAATATTACACTGCGTTCACATAAGGCAAAAAGTTTTCCGGAGAACCGAGGTCTCGCTTGTTGACAGGCGAGATCTCGGTGACCGTGATGTTTTTCCCAGCCTAGCCCCAGGCTCTCTCTCTATTCGCTGCTTTGATAGATTTAAATAAGTCTTAAAAGTTTTATGCCTAAGTGTGCTGTGCGGAACGCTTCAGCGAGAGAGCCTAGCAGATTTCGGTAAAATGGTCCCTGATTTCAAAAAAGTGGTCCCTGGCCTGGTTACCAAGCATACCTCATTTGTAAATGGAAAATGTTATGGAAATTTCCTTTGCATTTATAATTAAGTCATTAGTTTTGCTCTAATGCTGTCGGAACAATGAAATAGGCTACGTTTCGCTGCCATACAGTCAGAATGGAATAACAGACTAAATATGACTCGTGATTACTAAAATATATAGCCATATTAAATGCTATCTAGAAGCTTGAAAATTATGCCGAGTCTCCGACTAAAAATGTTTTGACAACACCGTCATGTCAGGCAAATATTTCCAATCTCCTCAGCAATTTAAACCTGTCAAGTAGAAAGCGTAGTTGTGTATACCAGTATGGTCTAGTGTTGATCACAACTTGCGAGTATATAAATAACATCAACGATTGCTCAAACTCGGTATCGTAAATTTGTATATAATTTTTTTTAGTTGAGCACATTTTTAATACGGTTTGATTTGGTTATGTAGACAACGAACATGTACATGATGAACGAACATTGTCGTATTTATAATTAAAAGGTTACATGTATATATAAATTTTCCGCCATATTAAAAATACTGAAATCTGCTAGGCGTTCTGAAGCACCTTAAGCGGTGACGTCACACCTACGTCCCAGTCTCGTACTACATCCACTTTTTTCTCGTGCTTGCTTCAGAACGACTGGGACTAGGCTGTGTTTTTCCCATATGAACAAAACTTTCCCGCTAAGCGGGATACCTCTCTGTTGTGTCAGCAACTTTTTAATTCAATTGATGTTCAGTGCTACGTCACAGTCGGATACTTTACCCGGTAAGCGCGGGATAACGTTTCTCCGATATGAACAGAACAAAAGTATTTGGCAAGTCGAAAAGTTTTCTCGTTAACCGGGATAACTTTTGCCCATGTATGAACAGGCCCTAAGTCTTATACAAAAACATTGAAATTATACAAAAATTTCTATATCATTGACAAACTAAAAGCATTAAAATACTGAGAAGAGTACTGTACGTTGTCGATTTAAATGAACACAAAAAGTATACAAAATATGTTGGCTAACGTCTGAAAATCACGGCGTCGTTCTTTCGCCTTCCGCGAGTTTTTTTGTGTACAAAAATACATTTTTGTCTGCATACCACTTGGAAAACTGATCAAAGATTGAAAAAGTTCATTTTGGATCAATAGGGGATACTCCGAGATCCAAACATTCGCCGATCAAAAAAGCCGTGTTTTTGGAATTAAAGAATGAGAGTTTTGTCTTTCTGATTTCTTTTAATTAAAAAAGTTTGTTTTGCAATAATAACAAATACGAATCCGATAAAAATGTTAGTCAGAATCGCATATTTTCACCGTTGAGAGTTGGGCCTAAAATCATTGAAAATGACCCCCTTCGGTACTTAAGCAATCTCGTACCCAGAGCAATGCCTGTGCGCGGGCTAGGAAGGCATTGGCTATGGGGAAATTGACAACCGGAACCCCTAAATTTAGGGGTTCCGGTTCTTTGTCGGCATGCACGATTGACAAACGTTAAACCAATCACAGCACAGGAAAAATTCAATTTCCCCAGAGCCAATGCCATCCTAGCCCGCGCACAGGCATTGCTCTGGGTACGAGATTGGTACTTAAGTGGCTGTCTCACTAAGAAGCACGCAGAGCGTTTCAGGTTGAAAATTAGATTTGCTTTATATTTTTACCATAAACTACCTTTGTCCTAAAAGGTATTAAACTTGAGTTATGACGAATCTTTGTCTGGACGTCAGCGACACTGAAATTTGACCCCGAAAACGGCGGTCAAATATGTGTTAAATTGTGCATCAGGAAGTTTCGCGTCAAATTAAAAACGTTTTTCAGCGTATTGAGACATATTCTTCTTTTAGAATGTTGAAATAATTTGAATGTACATACGCCATGTACATACGTACGTACTAGCCTACTAGTCTCCATCCAAGGAAGTCGGTATTTTGGTTCGCCGAACAACTAATGATTAGGTACAAAATTCAAACTAAAAATTCTCAAAAGTGCAACCTACTTGGTATCTAAAACACTTTTAGGGTTAAAGTAGAATGCTTAAAGTTAAGTTATTCGCAATAAAACTTGTCGGCAAAAGGAATATAAAGGAGTGCACAATTAATAAATTATGGCTATAAATAGCTCTATTGTTTACATTTGTGATAACCGGAAACATGTTCAATGTTGTTTGCGGAGTTTTTATAGCGACTAATATACTGCACAATCATTGTACTTAACTAAGAAAAGTTTAATTCGATCCATGAAATGCGACGGATCTTTGAGGTCTAAAACGGTCAGAAGAAATAAATTCGTCTAGGACGTTGTATCTCTCATGACCGGACAGGTACAATGCCAATGTCGAAAATGTGCGTTGCCGTAACGTCGCATCGAATTAATAAATCCATGAACTTGTTATTATGTTCTGTTAAAAGTTTTCCGCATTGCCCATTTGGCAGAATGTTTGTCCTTTCATGCAAACCATTCAATTCATCGTATAAAACGATCTTAGTTGCACTGACATTGACTATAGCTGCGACGTAGGCTATACTGAGATTTGTCCTTTATCTTTAATCTATACAGCAATAATAATAATTTTACAGTAGTTTGCAGCTAATCGCCATTCTGTGAATAACTTTCAACTTCAATTGGTATTTTTCGGCAAAATTTGATTTCTCTCATAATAGTAGTATAACTTATAGCAATAAAAATATACATAACATCGTAGTTTGCATGAGACGTTTTTGGTACTTGATTTGGGTTAACGATACTGCTCCAGGCTCCACACACTCGCGGACCAAGAACAATGACATCTCTCGACATGCCCAAGTTAGTCTGGGAGTATTTGTCCGCACCTGCACAATTTAGTTATTTATTTGGAAACATGTGCATTGCCCAATCATGGATGATATTTTATCTATGAGAGTTTTTTATCCTTTGATTTGAACTGAAGTTCAAAATGCGCACAAATTTCTTTCAGCATCGTTATTTTAAAAACAGATAGGCTCTTCTGTTCGTACATGTCACATAAATCATACGCGTCGTGGTATACAGGATGGCATACGTCGATCTCAGCAAGCATTTTCCACAAGTTGTCCACAAGCATTTCTCTTTGCGCTTTCGCGTCAAAATGAAGAACACGTAAACTTACGCATTCTTCTTCATGAAGAGCGCGTAAACTTACGATAGTTATCTCCAGTTTCCCCTGCGTCATTAAAGTACTAATTACAACACTTGAAGAAGTAAAAGTAACGTTATTGTAATACTTACGAGATCCTATTTGAATTAATTTCTCATAAAGAGTACAAATTGATTTTGATAATGATACATTGAAAACATCTCTTCCTGTACACTTACGAACCGGACCCGAATGGAGGGAATACTGCATGGCACGGTCTTAGCGGCCTCCAAAATCGTCCCAAATTATGACGGTGGGACGGACAAATAAACATCATCTTAAACTGGTCTTCGGTAAGATTGAACATTCCCGCGCGAATAGCAATTAACTCGTTCTCTCTCAAGTTCGATTTAGAAAGATGACAGTTTGATAGTTGAACACTCATATCTTCCTTACAATCAAATAAGCAACTAATCTCCTGTAATCCACGACTTTCACCACAAGAAATTCCACCAGCGCCAACAAATGAACAACTTTTCTCCATAATCAAAACTAAACTATATATAGTAAGCTTCTATATCTAAAAACGGCACTTCTTTGCGTTAATTTTCTGTTAAACAAAACAGGTGTGGAAATTACAAAGGACACTGTCATTGATATTATTTAAGAAGTAAGTTTAAAAAATACTAGCACTCCAATGAGGCAATAATTATTTTTAACAATGGCGCATTGAAGAACAAAAACAACTTGTATACATTGCGTCTGTTATTATTTTGGGCTATTATTTTCGTGGTTTTTTATTATTATTTTATAAATTAGAGAAGCTTAAAAATTGGCTACAAACGTATTCCCCTTGGCATACAGACTACAGTAACACAATTTACTAACCTCGAAATTTTTTTCGACAACTCCCGAAGGTTCGATAAAAGATTAAATTTGCGAAATTAATTGTTTCCTGAAGAATTAACACGCGAAAAATAACTATCCAGGTAGCAAGTTAACTATAAAGTTTAGTATAATGTTGCTTTCGTAATATAGCATGTATTCTATTTGTGGCACACTCATCAGTATACAAATAATGAATATTTATGAGTGCAATGGTAAGAATATTTTCATGGGGCCGGTTGTTTAACCCACTGTTTTATTTTGCATATTTCCGCATGTCCATTTATATATCAAAATATCTGAAAAGAAAACCTCTATTGATCCAGACATGATTTGTGAAGAAATATTTCCAAATTTATAAACAAGCTGTTAGGAAGTTTGCTTTGAATTGAATTATAAGTTAACCTAGGGTTAAGCTAATCGGCTTTTGAACAACCGGTCCATGAAATGAAAGATGGAATGTTGCATCGAGGTGACAGCCGAGTTAAATGAAACATTCCATCTTTCACCAACACTGTAAATTTCAAGGAGTTGAATCAACTCAAAAAGTTTTATTCTGTAACCAAAAACGGTCTAAAACGATTACAGAATAACACTTTTGGAGTTGATTAGACTCCTTGAAATTTACAGTGAAATGAAAATATTCTTACCATTGCACGAATAAAAACATTCATTATTTGTTTTATATAATACCAAAACAGACAAATATTAAAAGGTTTACTGTAAGCTCCCGCCATTTTGACGAGTCGTATTTGCATTAAATCCAATTTACTGAGTTGCGAATATCGGGTTAAAATAAACTGCGATCACCGTACGAGAAGCATTTTGACGGATGCGATTTATCGAAAACACAAAGAGTGCAATGGAATAAAACGTATAGTACAATTGCACTCGCAAGAGTGCAATGGAACGTATTCCATTGCACTCTTGGGAATTGGAATTTTCTATTCAATATCACGTGACCATAAACAGCCAATAAAACAGAATCAATAATCAGAATTCAATAAGGTATTATATAATACATATTAAACAGTACATAATGTATTGTACAATTATGTTGGCGTGCAACTATAATTAGTAATTTTAATCAAGTTTAAAACGATCAATTGTAAAGGCTTTCCGAAAGCTTAAAAGGCGGTGTTTGTATTCAAATATAAGAACTTATAAACACTATTTTATATTTATAATAATTGCTGATATAAATTTATAAAAGCTCCGCAAGTAACGCTGAACGTGTTTCAGGTTATCACAAAGGTAAACAATAGAGCTATTTATAACCATAATTTATGATTATGAACTCCTTCATATTCCGTTTGCCGACAAGTTTTATTGCGAATAACTTAACTTTAAGTATTCTACTCTAACCCTTTGAATTTTGTACCTAATCATTATAGTTGTTCGGCGAAAGAAAATACAGACTTCCTTGGATGGAGACTAGTAGGTTTAAAATAAGATGTACATTCAAATTCCTTCAACATTCTAAAAGAAGAATATGTCTCAATATGCTGAAAAAAAGTTCTTAATTTGACGCGAAACTTTCCGAGTTATGATGCACAATTTAACACATATTTGACCGCCGTTTTCGGGTTCAAATTTCAGTGTCGCTGACGTCCAGACAAAAATTCGTCATAACTAAAAAAAAGAAAGAAAAATTTAGAAATTCTAATATTAGTTTAATATACCTTTTAGGACAAAGGTAGTTCATGGTAAAAATATAAAGCAAATCTAATTTTCAACCTGAAACGCTCTGCATGGTTCTTAGTGAGACAGCCACTTAAGTCGACTAATTTCACCTCAATAAACGACGCACATATTCATAATTATTATTATTATTATTATTTTTTTAAAATTTATTTATTTTTATTTTAACATATTTTATTACAGACATTTTCTCTAAGAGCATGGCTCATCAAGGGAGATTATATCGGATTATTTACAAACTTTAGGTTACTCACATCAAGACAAAGAGGATAACATAAAAAGAAGATTACATCAAAACAAATCGAATAATCATAGTGTGGAAGAACTTCTGGTATTCATTCTCAAGCTTTGCATGAAACATATTATTATAAGAAATTTATATGGAAGAATTTACCACACCAATGTTTTACAGACCAATGTTTTACAAAACAAGTTTCAAAAAAAAAAGTTACTCGGCCTGAAACCGTTTTGTATTTAAAATAAATAATTGGACATTTTGCATTAATTTTACATTATCTTCATGCCCAAGATTTTCTGACCCATGCAAAAGTATTTCAATTTTCCGATTCTCTGATAAATTCATCCACACAGGATGGAGCAGCCGCGCAGGAAGTGAGAGCAATTGTCCACGTTAGGCAGCAAATCGAGAACAACATAAAAAGTAATGTTTGACAGTTTCCACTTCACCCCATCGACATACACAAAAAGGGGAATTTGCACAATTAATTCTATATAGGTGAAAATTAAGCGCACAGTGACCAAGCCTGAGCCTGGTATGGAGTATTGAGCTATATCTACTTAGCGATGCATTGTATTTTACGTTATATTTTTGTCCACAATACATATTACATAAGGTAACTTTAAAGGAAGACAGCGTTTCTATATTTCGTAATTCTGGATCAAGATCATTCCAGGCAGTTATTGCCGATGGAAAGAAAGATTTTTTAAATCGTTCAGTTCTCACAGGTATATTAGTTAAATTATCGTTAGATCTTAGAAAGTAACTGGATCTTTGGTTTACATATGGAGGCAAAAGATCACAAAGGTAGGATGGTGCAGTGTGGGTAACAATTTTATAAAAAAAGGATAGCTTATGAATATGTCTCCTAGTTTTCAAATCCTCCCAACATAGTTCTTCCAATAGACGATTTCTATTTGTTCCCCTTATTGCACCAGTAACAATGCGAGCTGATTCGTACTGAACTGTTTCTAAAAGATTTGCTTCCTCTATACTACATCCATCCCATATTACATCTGCTTATTCCATTAAGGGTCTAATCAGACTTTTATATAAGCATATCAGTGTTGACCTATTAAGCTTATATTTAACCCTTTTTAATGCGTTCATTCTTTTACTAGCTTTTTGATGTATGCTTAGAATATGTTTTGACCAAGAGAAATTTGACGTAAATGTTAAACCTAAATGTGAATGAGAATCAACTTCGCGTAATGCGGTGCCATTTAAGTATAAGATTGGCTGAGGAAGTCGGTTATTTTTCGTTGAAAATGTAATGCTTTCACAATTAGTAGGATTCAATCCCATCAACAATGCTATTGAGATCCTCGTTTAGTCGAGAATCAAAGGGTGATAAATGATGAACAATTTCAAGTAAAGATGTGTCATCAGCGTAGAGAAAACAGTCAGATACAATATAGTAGGAATAAATCTTAGCTAAGCTACGACACGTTCGTGATTAATTGTTTTTACTTTTGTTATGCATTGTTTTAATTAGGCACAGAGGTGAAAATATGCGATTTTGACTAACATGTTTGATCGGCCTCGTACTTGCTTACTTTTTCTCCACTTGGCATGAAAAACATGATGAAAACAAATCGTTCATACGCAGAGTAACTCACGTACAATAACGCGCTGAAGTTCGATTACCCCTTTTTTATACACCCTGGAGATAAAAGATGAGTATGCGTGGTGGTGAGGGTGGTAGTTCATATATTAAGTGCATGCGATTTAAGTCTAGACATTTATAAAATGTGTGAATCTGTTAGTTAATTGACTTATCCAATCATACGCTAAACGTACTGGAACAACCCGATCCCCAGGATAAGCTGAGGTACTCCATCCATCGCTGGTATGCTAAACCTTTACGTGTGTGTGCGTGCGTGCGTGCGTAAGTGTGTGCGTGCGTGTGTGCGTGTGCGTGCAGTGTGCGTGTGCGTGTGTGTGTGTGTGTGTGTGTGTGTGTGTGTATGTATGTATGTATGTATGTATGTATGTATGTAGTATACAGTTTCCGAGTGCATCATGCCCTCTATTTGATTTAAACAATATTTAATTAACAAAAAAAAAAAAACTTTTCCAAAAGCCTCAGGCTTACCTAGGAAAATCTTAATTGTCATACAATACAATTACAAAGTTAACAAAAATTGACATCACATTCAGACTAAAATACATAGATAAAAAATACATAGGATAAACAGACGAATGGCAGAAAGATGCACATCAAAACAATGCAGAATGAGAAGTAAGTATTTCTAATATATAAACTAATGTATTTTCTCCAGGGTGATTCTATATCAAAACGTTTTACCCTTTATATTATCTGCATCAAATAAGATTAACAAGTACACCACCAACATTTTCACTTCGTTTGATAGATTTGAGAATTAAGAATTTTTTAATTATGTGGCGTGCTCAAATGCTCAATCGAGTTTTTGAGCACGCGGGAAGTTAGGAGAGCACGAAAACGCGTAAGAGTTGGTCGAAGCGCTTGCCGAGATCAACTTTGGCGCTCGAGTGCTCTCCTAACTTCCCAAGTATACGCTTTCCAAACTATTTTGAGATATTCCAAAATAAAATTTTTTGGCAAAATTCGATAGGGAAAATATGCGACATACTGGTCAGTTTTATAAAAAAATGTATTTTTTTTGTGAACTGATAGACACAAAACTATAGTGTTCGCACAAACTACTGCCCAGACGGCAGAGGGAATATCTAAAAAAATATGTTAACTGACAATATGTTGTCAGAATTTCGGACACCCCTATTGTTGGTCAGTTGAAATATCTAAAAAATAGATACGCTGTAGCATACATGGCGTCCACTGGGTCAAAAACAAAGAATACTTGATGTCAATAAAATACACTCGAAATGACCACTTTTATTAGAATAGAGATAGGCTATAACATATCACACAAATATACACTTTTATTTACAGTAGCTTCCATACCAAATCTGGTGCGTCAATCAGTCTTCAAATGTTAGTGTATTAATTATATAATTTCCAAGATATACATTTTTCGCAATATGATTTGCAGCCAGAAACATTTATTGACAGTAGGTGATATCTCTTCAAAGATTTCTTCGTCAATTTGAAGACAACATTATACACTTGTGAAGTACAGTATCTTTCCAAGATAAACATGTAGACATTCCGTGTTGATACTTCCAATTTAACATTGTTCTCTAAACGTATATCAGACGCTTTTATGAATAATGCTTTTATGAATAATAATAATAATAATAATAATAATGATGGTTTATTATTATGTAAAATGGCACCAATTGGTGAATTACTTTACATTTACATCTAGAGAATCCAAAATCTATATATATATATATAAATATCTACAACTTACTATACTACTATAAAATGTCTAAAAATATTTTGAGCTTATCTATTTGAGTTGCAGTAACTAACGTTAGTTGGGAAAAAACTGTTTTTGAACCGATTTGTGTTACATTCAAAAATGTCGAGATTTTCACTGTTTCGAAGTTTTCGGCCATGTTTCTGAAATCTGGTTTCTGGTATGAGATACGACAGACGATCACCACTAGTCGACTTAATTTGTTTAAAAAGTTTTTGAGATAATTGTTGTCTATTTTCCGCTAATGACAGACAACCAGACATTGAAAGTGCATCATTATACGATTGAAACGGATATATAATTCGGAAAGCTCTTCGTTGAATTTTCTCAATTTTATCAGACAAGTACGTCGGATGTATGAATGTCAGTTTCTTTCACGTGACAAAGATCATGGAAAAGTTGCGTTATGTTAACCTTGATACATCAATTTTTGGTTTGTTGCACATGCCCGCACCCAGCTGAAATATGCTAGTTGTGGTCATTTCTAAAAATATAAAAAGAAAACAATTTCGCTCAGTTAGCAACAATGACAAAGTCAAAGGATGAAACAGATAGAAAATTCGAGATTGTTGAAGGTGTTTATATAGCGAGGAAGAGTCATTGTCAACCACAAGGGCAGCAAGGCATCGTGCGCCCAAATTAACCTGCTTGGCGGCCATTTTAATGGCGGAATAATAGATTTTTCGGTTTTCAATCCATAATATATTTCAACCATCCTATGATTATACTTGCTCATTTTAACTTTTTTATACTAAAATTGCACCAGAGAAATGTTTATTATCGTCATTTGTTGGTATTTGTCACTTCCAAAGGTAGACGTGAACAAATGCATTGACATAGTGGTGACAAAATGATAAAATTTATATCAAATATGGAATCGAACAAGACCAAATGTATAAAACAGTAATAGCCACATTGCATGTGATCGAAGCTATTTAAAATAAAATATATATTCTCACCGACTGAATACACACTAAGCAAAATACTATTATAAAATAGTCATTGTCAGTAAATGAGTGAAATACAATATAAAGTAGCCTACGTTATTTCTCTCAGCATCTCGCCAATTGAACACATAAGATTGTATATACTCTAAAAGCTCAAAACAGCTTACCTTACCAATTTAATACTGGAAAAACGTTCTTCGAAGCTCGAAATTGGTAAAACTTTAAAATAGATGAGTTTGACTATTGAGCGTATAAAGTGTTACACTGTGGTTCAGGCCATCCAAACACGGAAATTTAAAGTGCCTTCGCGGGAATTTTAAACATGTCAGACTCTGAAGACGAATTTTTTTGCCAAAATTGATTTGGAGGGCATTTGTGCAACCGCAGAAAAGAGTGAAACGCGTAAAAGGTTTGCTGAAGTAACCCAGGAGAATATTGACGAGCTGTTAAGCCATGTACAGTAAAAAAATACGAAGTATAAACCAACATACGCTGTCAATATTTTTAAAGGTAACAGTGATTGTGTAGATTTATAAACAATATAAACATTCGCATTTAGACCGCAAATGTTGAAATTCAGTAGCCTACACTATTTCGCTGTCATTTCTATAATTCTTATTTGCTTATATGTATTTATAGAATGGTCGAAACAGCGAAACATTCAACAAGAATTGCACGAATTGTCTTTGTCAATTTTACGTCGAAGTAAAAAACCAGCAAGGTGAAGACTACAGTAAATCAACTTTAATTGGTTTAAAACATGAACTAGAGCGATACCTGAACTGTCCACCGTACAACAAAGGTTTGAGCATGTCGTCCAACCCAGCATTTAAAATGTCAAACTCCGTGCTGAACGCCAAGATAGTATCCTTGAAGAAACTGGGGGAAGGAGAATGTTGTACAGAAGCCCGTCTTGGAAGCTGAAGACCTCATAAAGCTAAAAAATAGCGACGTATTGAATGTGTCCACTCCACTTGGTCTCCTTAGAAAATTTGGGGAGGATGTACAAAACTGACGCAGAAAAGGCTTCTCAGCTCTGCAGCTATTCATTATCAAACTGCATCCTTCCTGCGAAGCATTCTTTCAATATCCCAAGCGAAAGTGGAGTCCGGCTGACAATACTTGTCTTGCTACGAGAACAAACCTCTTGGTGTAAACACGCTTGGTAATATGATGAAAACTATCAGCGAATCAGCATCTCTGTCGAAAGTTTACACTAACCACTCCTTGAGAGCAGTGTCTATACACTGTGGTCCAACGCCGGCTTAACAAATCGCCATATAATGCCAATTTCAGAACATCGCAGCGAACAGTCTCTTGTCCACTACAATCAGCGACCATCATCACATCAGTTGAAGCGTTCAAGCGAAGTTCTTTCCGGAGCTCTTGGCGACAATATGGGGCATAATAAACCACTTAGGAAGAAACCTGCAGTCGGAATAATTTCACAAACCACCGTGACAAAAGCGAGAACAATTGCTTCTTTTGACCTTGGTTCTTCGTCACCTAGCGTCTCGTTGCAAGGATTGCCTAATTTCGCCGGAATGTTTAACAACTGCTTAATCAGCAGTGTAAACGTGAACTTTAATCAACACTTGTAATTTTGTTAAACTTTTAAACACAAAATTCAAAAACTTCGTTGTAAATCTACGTTGTAGGGTTTCACGGTTGATTGATCTGATTGTTTACAAAATTATATAGCTTCGTTGAAGGTCGTTTGCTTTCTCGCGAACTTGGGAGAATTTAGCATTGCAACTTGGGAGAGTTTAGTAATAAAACAATTACTTTATGGTTTCCGTGTTTGGATGGCCTGATCCAAACACTTGGGAATGTTGCTCGAGTTAAGAAAAGCGGGCAAAATCACTCGCCTTCGGCTCGTGTTCGCGCGTTTTTCTTAACTCTCGCAACATTCCCGCGTGTTTGGATCAGGCCATCCAAACACGGAAACCATAAAGTAATTGTATAATCAGAATTTCTGACAATTATTAAATTAATATTACCTATCAAATCAAACAGTTCACTCTTGGAAAAATTTTTGGAGATATTAAGTGAGAAACCCGAAAACAACGTACATGTTTAGCGAAAAAATAAAAAACAATCTCGCCTTATATTTCATGATTTTCCATCTTACATTTCTTCTTGTTGAAGTAAAATTTAAAACATCGTTGAATATATAGCTCATTTCATATAGCTCCACCATATTATGAGATCAGTAAGCAAACACACCCCATTTTCCCGAGTGTAAATAGCCGTGCGGGATTAGTACCCTCTCCCCAGGCTATCGCCCGTGCTCGGGGATTATGCTTGTTTTTTTTTCTTTAATGCAAATTAAACAATAGAGCATTTCCAGGACACCTGACAGTCTACTTATAACGAAGTTATAAATTACGTTGCTAACATATTAAACAGTCACAAAACGAACTGAGATTAAAAAATAATTTCACTAATGTTTTAGTAAGGTAAAGCAAAAATAACTAACCATTTCTCCAACATTCAAACGATCGCGTAGTGCCAAAATTGTTTTAACCAAATCAGGAACAGCATGAACAAGTTCAGAAAAGTTTACCAAACGAGCTCGAATCAAGGAGTAAGCAAAGTGAATAAAAGGAATATCCAATTTAAATTCCTCGTTTTCATACAGCGACTGATGCAGTTGTCTCGCTGCTGCATGCACGGCATCGCATATTAACTGTGAAAGAGATAATAAACTCTGGATTAGACAATTACAAGCAATTCGGGGAAATTCGAGGAAATTGGTTACCTTTAATTAAATAAGTGCAGCAATTGCAGACTAGTAGTACTGAACGGTTGTGTAGAGGTACCCGTTTAGCACACACCTCAAAGGCGTGTTTACCCACTTGTTCTCAATTGAGAACACTTAGTATGCAGAATATCGCTTGCGCTACCTGACGCTGGCGTCTTCGCATATCATGTAGAAGGTATAAAGAAAATATTTGCTAGCAACCGCCATATTAAAACATCATATAATAAACATGTTGCTAACATCGACCGTTCAGTCATGGCAAGAAAGAACCAAACCTTGGAGTTCCAAACTACAAACTACAAACTATGTGCTAATATTGCTATCTCTCCGTCAATACATCTTTCAGTTTGATATTTCCCTTGCCCAGTTCAATATCTTTCGTGTGTATTTGCCTGTCGAATGAATATTCGATTTCATTAATAGATGCTTCATTTAGCAACTGGTTGCTGGATTCGAAAGTAAATTGATCGATTTCAATGGTTGATTAACATATCAGGTGAGCTCGACTAAGTGTTGCTCAGTTTATGACGGAACATTTGATTCATATATCTGTTAAATTTTGATAGTAAAAACACAACACATACTTTCTATACTATCTTGGTAATTCTTCAACCAAGCTCGTTATAATGTTCATCACTACCTAGACTGTGGAATTCGGCACTTCTAATGTAACTAAATACCGTTTAGCTATAAGTTTGTTGCATAAAAGATTAAATAAATCTTATATCTTTCTTGTGTATAAATGTAACAGCGGCATTTATCTCAGTTGCGAACTTCCATCAGGAAGTTAGTAGCGTGGGTAAGGAGATACATGCACCTCTGCTTTTATACCAGGGAACACAAAAGCGATCACGTGAAAAATAAACCGATGACATGGAACTAGTCAAAACTATGGACGCTTTCCATTTAATGGCCAGACCGGCCAGACCCAAATTCTTTTCTCTGTATCAATGGAAAGATCTGGTTTATGTTTCTCAAATATCTAGAGAAAATGGACCTCATTCTCATGTTATCTAAAATTTCCGGTCAGATGGGTCCAAAGCCCAAAAGTTTTGTATTTCATTCAACAATTTGACCGTTCTGACCGGTCTGGCCGTGTTAATGGAAAGCGCCCAAAGTGTAAACACAATTATATTGTACAAAATTATACAAAATGTAAATCATAATTATATTAATACTGAATATAGGGAAAAACACAACTAGAATAAAACAAATGTATTATGTATAAAAAAATAAAAAAAGTGATATCTAGAACAAGGTTTGCTGAACTTCGTCGTGCTGTTATCGACAACGATGCTAACCAGCATGTTGCCAAACATATTAACAGTGGCAATCATAGTGTGTCGGATTGGCTAAGGATTTTACTGCTTTTAACAAAAGGATACAAACTTTTCTTAAGTTACAAAATTCGTATATTTTTGTATATAAATATAGCTTGTATATAACTTCTAATTTTATTTATTCATTGTATCTTAAATAATATTTCAAATCCAACTATGAAGACAGGACCGGATTTTAAGTCCGCGAAATTTGATCAACTCCGAGGCATAGAAATCTTAATGTTCTCATCTTACAATGGTGATTTGGAAATCATACGTTGACGATACAAAAACTTTGCTATCGTTTGCTTTAACAGAAGTCAACACTGGAATTAAAAATCTGGAAGAAGACTTACATAAAATTGCGTCTTGGTGCTGTGAAAACAATCTTTTGGTGAATCCAGATAAAATTCATGATTATTGGAATCAGACAGCTGATAAACGAACTTGATGTCAATCTTTCGATTCTTTTATGGGGAAGATTCTAGAACCTGTTGATTTTGCCAAAGATCTACGACTTCTAATGGACAATCACCTAAGTTACGATAGGCACATATCGAATCTAGTATCGTCTTGCCTTTATAAACTGTGCCAGATAAACAGAGTTAATAATTTTGATAAGGAAACACTTACAATGATAGTGATTAGTAAGATGCTCTACAGTTCCACTGTATGGTCAAATACAACATGCACCAATATAAAGAAACTTCAATCTATACAAAATTTTGCATGTAAAATAATCACAGAATCTAAGAAATATAATCATGTAAGCCCATTACTTCAAGATCTTGAGTGGCTAACAGTCGACAAATTGCTCTATTTCCGTGATGCCGTTATGACTTTCAAATGTATGAATAACTTAGCACCGAAATATTTCGTGATATGTTTGAGGAGCGATCTTCTATTCATAATCGGTCTACGCGGAACTGCAACTCAATATAGATACCATTGTTTAAAACAACGTCAGGTAAACTCCTTTAAAGGAGCTTCAATTTGGAATAACCTAGACACTCAGCTAAAGAAATGTGCATCACTTAAGACATTTAAAAGTCATCTTATAGACCACCTACTGTCTATATAGACGAGATTACTCTCTATTTAGACCATTAAAAATTTGGATATCAGTACTTTCTATTTTTAACTTTGTAGAAATTGTAAATATTTTAAAATTGTAGTTTTAATGAAATAATTTTGCAAATGGTTCTGAAAAACCCTCTTGAGAGAAGCAATTAACTTTAATAATAATAATGCATCGATATCATATTTGTGATATCAAGTTGTCTCCAACCTCCTTATCAATGACCATCCTTATTGCTATAGCTCTTTGCAAAATCCTCGTGAGTCATATGGCCGAAAAGTCATATGGCCGAGTGAAATCTGCTGCATACATTTAAACTACAACATTCCCTATTACCACGGCTTAAAATCCTGAGAAAAGCTGTCATCTTGTAAAAATACAAGAGCCTTTATACTAAACATATAAAAACATCACGTGATGTTTTTATAATCCTAGTATAAAATCTCATGTATTTTTCCCGACTCCCGCTAGTAACTCCACGAGACGAAGAAATTCGAAACGTTGAAATTCTCCTTAATTTTTTCAGGCAGGGTCAGCGTTAAAGGGGGGGGGGGGGGGGGGAACACCACAGTCATAAGGTAGTTGGAAAAATATTGAATCCTAGTTGGCAAAACATGGATTTGCATAGAAAAAAATATTTGAGTGACAGCGATTAAAAATTAAGATTTAAGAATGTAGCTAAAATGTGGAGAAATTTACGAAACAATTAGGGAAAAATGGAACGAACAACGATGGTTGGAACACAAAATAATATTGAGAAATTTGATGTCCCCCACGCTCGCCTACAATTTTGGAAAAATTAATATTAATTAGTGGTTGTAGTGACTCGGCAAAATTTGCCTTCACAACTCGGCAAAATGTATTTACACCCCCATTCAAAGAGGTCTAGTGCCGCCCCTGTTTTCATACAGGTGGTTGCATCCCTACCAACGAAAGCTTGTTGTCGGTCCCAGGCTTTCTGCGAGTTAAGTGGAGGAGAATTCGAGATTTTCGGATTCACTATTTAGAACAATGGGTTGGTGACGTTTTGTGACGTATGATTCGAATTCCAGCATAACTTCCGCTTTCTTTCTAAACGCCTGTTCGCAGGCTACCTTCTTTCCTGCAGTCTCGGTTGTGTGGTGGAAAGTTGACAACAATTTTTCAAAAAAATATCGAATACTATCGCCGTTTTAGGTTAAAATCTCAAAGTAAGTTATCCTGAAATGTTATATGTTTATATTACGTTGTATTGCTGTAGGATTTACTGTAATATACATCGACTGTACACTTATGATATTTTGACAAATTAGAACATTTCTATCTCCTCCTATTTGGTGTGTGTTCGTGGGCATCTTTTGGTCAAATCAAATGAATACTAAGAATCAAATGAACAATGTTCATATTATGTTTCTCAAAAAAGCAGTGAATTGTGAACTTGCTGTACCTGTACCTGTACCTGTACCTGTACCTGTACCTGTACCTGTACCTGTACCTGTACCTGTACCTGTACCTGTACCTGTACCTGTACCTGTACCTGTACCTGTACCAAGTACATGCGATGTGTGAACTTGCTATATTTTATACTTTATAGTTTATACTAGCGAAGGGTGATCTCGCTACCTGGGCAATCGTTAATTGGCAATTCCAGCTTTTAGTTTATGCGTGCAGTGGATGCTGGGAAGTAAGGTATCATGTTGCTGATTATGCTGAAAAAATAGAAAATGGTGGCCGAGTAAACACGGAGTGATAGCTTACTTGTAAATATTGAAATATTTTGGTTGTTTCGGCAGTTATTTTTTATGCCTATTGGCAATAATAAAGTTGTATACATTCTGTCAAAAGATCAAGCCAATAAGGTATTATATATCAAATTATACAAATATATAGGTGGTATGTCAATTAGAAAATTGCCAATAAAATAGTTATATATTACAGTAAATGATTATTAATAATGTTATTATGGGAATATGATGTGAATTTTAACTTTGACAGGCAGAAGTGGTTCTTATATAATCTTACTTCACATTATACCTTTTTCTATTCAACACATTAAATTAATAGGAACAGTTGTTGCATAAAACTATTGCTATGACTCTAATATGGTTTTCGTTACATATATCTAAATTTCAAAAATTTTTAAAACTTGTATTTTGGGTGCTTCATTGCCCAAATTTCAGGCTAGTGGTTCTTAACCTCCTGTTTCATTTATGCGGGGCTTTACTGTATATCAATATACCTTAAGCAAAATAACATCTCAAGGCTTGATGCCTGCGAGGAATGCTGGTCTTAGTAGACATCACCCTGGAAAATATCGATAGTGGGCGATGACTTTCCCGGGCAATGACTACTAAGACCAGCATTCCTCGCGGGCATCAAGCCCTATGACGTCATTATGCATAATGTCAATTGAGCAGTATGATGCTCGTATTGGAACACACAATTGTATACGAATGAAAAATTATCTGACTTGTTTTCGATAATGCTCACAATTCCTTTTTTATTATATAGTTTTGCAGTTCTGACTAAGTACAATCTTAATAATTTACACAATGAATGATGTCATCTGAAGCTGACGTATTAAACAAAAATGTCAACAAAATAGATTTTGTCTCCCCCATCAGCAGATTGTTCAGTTGTTCTGCGGTAGGGGTAGGGACTTACCGGTAGTATTTCTATGTATGGAATTCTACATATCCAATGATTATTATTATTATGAAGTATTATTATCGTTTGTATATATGATACTTTACAGGATTCAGTGGCAAGCTAGCCATGATAACTGGTCATGCTATGCTAATAAACCTGCATCTATTTGAATAATGCAAATTATTAAAAACTTGCATAGCATGACCTGGTGCTATGGCTATATCTTTACCACTAACAGTCTTCGCCACTTATAATTATACATACAGAAGCAAGAAATTATAAGCATTAAAGGTATAAAACCGTCCATGCCAAGAAAGTAGAATTGGAATATTTAGCTAATCTTCGACTTTGTGCAAGGTGTTTTCGTATTCATATTGCACTTTTCCTACCTCCTGAACAGGTATCTTAGGCGTGCTTTATGTGCTTATATGATGGAAGGCAGGATGAGGCAGCACTGTCCTTGCGATAGTGACTTCTAGTTAATACTTCTCCTCTTACCTAACTTAATATTTGTTTTCACATAATTATTTGTTTGCAGTTTGTTTTGACTAAATCCATATCATTACAGTACCTGTAATTCACCCTCCACGAAAGGTTTATACATCATATGTAGGAAATCGTTCAAGTAGTTCATTGCTGCTTCATCTTTAATACTTCTATCCTCAAATGTGGAATTCAATAATTTTCCAAGTGGCGACGAGTAAAAAACACCCCTTAGTGAAACCAATGTCTTAGAAGGATTGGCTATACAAATTACAGAAAATAACTTTAAAAGTATATACTCACACTATGGAAATTTTGAATGTAATATTTTGAATGCAGGCCATATACAGGGTGTATAAAAAAAAACGCAACTTCGGAATTTCCTAAGAAATCACTTTGCAATTCTAAGCATAAAAAATTTTAGGCCCCTGGGAATTGAAATCGAATTGCTAATAGATCATATTACTGTTGTTGTGCAT